CAAAAAACAACAATAAATAAAATCACATTATATGCAGATAGTTCTACTTACATCAGTACAATATACTGTGCAGCTTTCCATTTTTTTTTTTCTACTAGACTGATAATAGGTTTCTCTGTTGTCCAGTATTTTTACATTAATAATGAACAGTATCACCCAAAATCGGGGACAAAGTTAACGTCCACAGTGTCTATCCTGAGTCCTCTTTGTTCTGTGATAATTACACGGTATGCATAAGAGACACAGCAAATTCTACCCACTGCTTTCATCCTGCCTTTCTATCTTCTCAGTGATATCTTTCTCAGTGTCTTCTCAGCACTTTCAGGCCTGCACAGCAAGGAAGATATTTTTACTTACATGTATCTGCGTATGGGCATGATTCAACCTGGCCAGGTCCTATGTATCCCTCAAATCACATTTAAATGTTAGGTAATGGGGCTATGTAGGATTTAAAATGCAAATAAGCTTCCTGCTGATCCCCTAAAAATTAATTACTGAACAATAAAGACAATGTGCTGTGCAGCCAGGGCTTGATCCCACTCTCAGTACAGTCAATAGTATCATCAGGGGAGAATAATCAATTCCTGAGTATTTTCCCTATATCCACAACGGACATTTTCAAGCTTTGCATCCTATATTGCAGAATTCATTGCATCATCTGCCACAAAACTACATAAGAGATATACCAAATAAAAGAGGACACATTTATCACCTCATGTGGCACCAGGATAACTGGCCATGAATTAGGAACCACGATACTGACTTTTTAGCGTAGCTTCTTTGTCTGTCACACTGCATATGAATTTTGCAGAGGAAGAGAAGTCCAGACCATCAACATCCATGAATCAGCATAGCTGTACTGTTTATGTTTGCTGAAGGTTTCACATACCAATAGCAAAACACCTGATCATAGTTTGAGGGGAGATAATTGTATGTTCCTTGTGCATACCATTTGATTACAAAATAAACCATTAAAACAAGATCATTTTAAAATACCCTTTTTGGTACATTTCTTTGTGTGCTCAAGTGTCCTCTAGAAACATTCACATGACAGTAACACGAAGCAATAGTTCACACTGAGTGGATTTTAACCTTTCCAAAATTTAACACCTAATGAGTCCACATAAGATTTTATGAAGTACTATAGCTTAACATACACATTTTAACAGTGTCATATTATTGAGAAGATTTTGCCTTTGATGAAGAATATTAAGTTAGTGGTTAGTGAGAGATCCTGAATGAACTCTAAGCCTCTCCTTCTGAAAGCTAGTTCTGTATGCTATAAATTTGATGCATGTTGGTTAAGAGGCACTCTGAAAGGTAAATTCTGGAAGAAGTAATAGCATAATAAAACAGTCTACGTAATGATACACTGGACATAACTAAACATGAGCCCAAAAAAGCCTCAAAGCCATGGCAGCATTATCATCTCGATCAAAACCGACCTTGACCTTTCAAAAACTCCAACATTAACTTTTATCCTTTTTCTTCTATAAGTGAGATAAAGGGAGAGATGCACTCATGCCAGACATAAGGCTTCACTGGGGTAAGCTGAAGTTCTTAGGCTTCCTGTCATCCTCCAGAAGAGAAAAGACATGAACAAAACCTGCTGCACAGCCTGCTGACCCCTGTAGACAGCCAGGACCGAGATCTCTCACAGCTACTTGTATTAATTTCATTAATCACTTTTCATCAGTCTCAGAGTCAGAATGTTAAAAGATATCTGAGAATGGAAAAAATACAGGTCTGAAGCCATCAGAATTCATTTCTGCCTCCAACCAGAGATCGGCACAGTGCACACACTTCCATCCTTCCACTTGAAAGGTTTCACACACAGACAAATCTTTTTGTGCTTTCAACAGCAAGAAAGAAGGGCAGGGAGGGAGTACACACAGCATATCTGAAGGCAAAGCTTTTTCCAGCATGTCTTCAAAATATATTCCAAAAAGTAACTTTTGTTTTCCTTGTTTCTAAAAAGGGCCAATGCTGCCTCCTGAAACAGATGTGCCGCAGGACGCATCCCTTCATCCTTCACTGCTGCAAGAGAAGTTACTAGGACGTGTTCCTGACTCACAGAAAAAGAGATGTACCACTGGAAGCATGTCTGCTTCCATTTGCCCCACAGGCAGGTCAATATTGATGTCATTTTTTACAACTGCTAGGGTAAAAACTGTTGCTCACAACACCTAACATCATCTGCTCGTGTCTGGAGCACTGCGCTTCCTGTGAGCTCAGCCCTGCAGCACAGGGTGCCTAGGAATCACAGAACTTCAATTTGCAGTGCCAGCCTTGGATGTTCTTAAAAGGATGCCAGCCTCAAAATTCCACTTAAAATCCATGAAGTTTTTAGCTAATCCAATTTTTTAGCTTTGTTTACTTGACAGGCAACATCAGGCAATTCTGGCTCTGAAACTCCGATAGCAGCTGGCTGGCATGGCCAATGCAAGGTGTGCAGGCTGTTGAACAGCAAGACAACAAGCAGCATGAGCTGAAATTACAGAAAAGCGGCCTTCCAGGGAACTGGGAGCAGGTCTGACTACGTGATGGAAAGTAGCTGTCTCTTTTCAGAGTACTTCTGAAGCTGGAGAAAAGGGCATTAAAAAAATAGGGAATTCAACAGTGTTTATTCCACTCTGGGAGAAAATGAGCAAAAAACCTCAACTGCTTTATTTGAAGAAACAGAATGGCTACATGGCTTCCCTGAAACACAGAGGAGGGTGGTGAAGGATGTGGAACTGTCTTGAGCTCCGGAAAAGGTGGACTGAATTGCCAAAGAAATTTACGACCAGGACTATTAGCTTCCTGTCTTTGATGTCTATTCTTAGCTTTCCAGGAGCATTATGGCATTCATGAGGTGAAAATCGCTCTAGAGCCAAGGTCAGCTAAGGCTGATGCAGCCTGTTCTACTGCAAAGCTGAGAAATTAACTTTGAACTGCTTCAAGATGCTGAGTTTAAAGACTGAAGATACTTCAGTGAGGGTCTGAGTTTGCTTCCTTTGAATCAATGAGAGGTTTTCTTTGTTTTGCTTAAGGAGAGAGTGATTGGATCTGCAAGCCAAAAAATGAAAGAGAGCTCAACCTCCCATTAGAACATACTGTCATGGAGCATGTTCTTATTTTGTCTAGCTCTCATCCTCCCCACTGCTTTCAAAGTATTAACTACACCTTAATAATTCTCCAATAAAACCCTATGAAATACTTTCAATAATGCAATTAAGCATTTCTTAAAAACAAACAGAAAACAGATCAATAAAATTTGTTTTCAAAAATGAATGAATTTAATAAGCGGAATTCTGGCCACAATCCTGCAAAATGCGCAACATTCCTACTGCAATTTTTAGCACTGATTGAATGTTCTGAGCGAAGCACATCACTGACTGAACTGGTAATTAACTGGTTATGAAGAGACACAGCCCGAGGCACATAAACTGTCCGTAAACAGAACTTCTCAAACTATCTAAGGTCCACATCAAAGCATTAGGCAGCTGAATAAAGCTGTGGGTCTCAGCATACTAAATCACAGGTCCTATTGAAAGTTTTGCTTCATCTTTCTCTGTTATAGAGTATGCTGCTGCAGTGGAAGTATATATGCTTCAAGTAAGGGAGTAAAGTCAAACAATTTGTTCATGTTATTCTCTGGAAAAGAATTTTGAGGTGTATCAGCTATTAAGCTGACATATTTGGGAATTCAGTGAAAAACTAAATTATCAGAATTTGCCACTGACCAAAACACAAAGCCACCAGTTCAATTTCACCAGTTACAGGCACAGCTATGAGACTTCAAAATAAACATATGGACTCTGGGGCTAGCCTTGCTCCAATTCAAGCAAGGTGAGATTCCCTAGGATTTGGCTGTGGCCAGTTATGATGCCCTTTGGTCCCAAGTGAGTAAAGCACTTACAAGCTGAAGTCAAGCATGTTTCATGTGTTCTAAAGCGTAGGCTGAATCAAGGCCCTCCTTGTGCTGCTCTGTAATGCATATTTGTAACACAGGTAACTAATTGAAGCCAAAAATGTGGGTTTTGAAAACTCTTTGGAGAATCAATTATTATTACTTTGATTAAACATTTCCTTACTGAAGCATAAAAGTTGTTGCATTGAGCTAATGCACATGAATCAAAAAGGGAAAGAACATTAGATAGTAAAGAACCTCTGATGAATAATGTAAACTCAAGGCAGTTTTTCATCTGTGGTTCTTGGAAGACCTGTGAAGATTAGCATGAGGCCTGTGGAGGGCAGCTATGAAGGGCAAGTTTGTTTATGCTGTAGAGGAATGTACTTATGTGAAATACCTTACACAATCTCCACTCTTCTGTGGGAAAAATTCACAGCTGTGTAACAACTTAGAAAGATTTTGCCCATTAATCTAAAATACTCTAACACATGAAATAGGTTCACCTTTAGAAGACGAGAGGCGTTGGGATGTAAAGTTGTAAAGGCCACCACCAGCATCCCACCAACAGACATTTCAGGAAAAAACTTCCTGAATCCTATATAAAAAAAATCCTATATAAACCTGGTAAGAGGAACTGTCATTTTAACTGAGTGACCTTTCATTCTACTTTTTAAAAAATGCCTAGTTATAATAAGACGTCACAAAACAAACAAGTTGTCCTAACAACTTGTTGCCCCAGACAGATCTCATTGCTCTGATATTCTGCTCTGAATATTCCTGTGCTTTCCGGCTGTGGAAAGCACAGTAAAAAGGCAGGCCAACACTGCTTTGTTCCCTAACTAGTGGCTAGGTCAGTAGCATTTCAGACTGGAAGGACAACTCATAGCCATTACATTTCTAAAAATTTTATCCTTCAAATCATACCCTTTTTCTCTACATCCTTAAAAATTTTCCTTAAGTTTTGCTATGACAAAGTAGTCTAAAGGATAAAAGAAAGCAAAAATAATGAAAGGCTTAACTGCAAAACAAAAGTAGATCGAAGTTATCTCTGAAATTATCTTTTTTTTTTTTTTTTTTTAACCCAACCAACTAACGAAGAACTACAAACAAACAAACAAAACCATGTCCATTGACTAGATAAACACAATTATTTTTAAAAATCTCCAGAAACTAATCAGGAAGTCTTCTTTCACTCCAACTCTATGACAGTATGAATGCTGTTCTAGCCTATACTCAGCTCTGGTGTCCATGAGACAAAGAGTATACACTTCTGAAAACTGTCCATTAGTCTCAGTGTTACTTTGGATACTGTTCCTTTGAAGAAGTCATAAAGGTCTTGACTGAAAAATGGGATGATATAAATCTATCAGGTGAATAATGGCAATCACAGAAAATCCTAAAAATGCCTAAAATCCTAAAATCTACCCAGTTTATGGCCATCATTGATCCTGCTGCTCTCCTGACCATCAGCAAGCAGGTGATGACCACTGCATATGCTAAGAGACAGTGCAATGAAAGAAATAGCAAAAATATTCATATGAATTATTCCATGGAGTATTTCTCCACTGACAAAAGACAGCAGAAAGAAAACAAAGCCAGCTTTTGCCCTTCATTCACTTCCAGCCACCTCAAAATGGTTTCTCTGAATTTTCACTCTGGCTTCTCAAAGTACAAAAAATTTTGTAGAATACAGACTTTAGAGCCAGTTTTCAGAATAACTATTGTGTAAAGTCTGACTATGACTCCTGAGACCAGAAAAGTTCTGCTTATGAAATCAGAATAAGATAAGCCAGAAGATTTCATGCATTACAATAGTCATAGCTGGGTTTTCTCACAGACAGTACTTTTACAGGTCATCTTCATCATTTATATTACGTGCTGTTCATTTCCGTTTCTTGACCAGAAAGACCTCTCATCTGTCTAACGTGAAATAACCCGTCAGTAGCTAATTCATCACAGATTCAGTTTTGCTCCTGGTAAAGTCAATGGCAAAGTTCCCAGGCATACTAATGGCAGTGAGATTAAAGTCAGTCCTAGAGTAGAGTTTTACCATCCCGATTCCTGAAGATAGTTGTGTGTTCAATCGTACAAAGGTGAAGTTAGCCTCACTGACTAATGTGGGACTACTTAATACACACAGTTCATTATCTTCAGGATCAGTGTTATCATCGTATAAGCAATCTGGTAACTGCATTTATATTGTTTAAATAACTGTACACAGGACACACATGCTTAGAGAAGTAAAGGGTTAAAAAGTTTGTTTTATCCATAAAGTCACTTCTTCTCCCCTAAATACTGGTTCTAAAATGCATTTACTGTTGCTGACTTTCCCTGCATGTTACTCCTATCATAAAAAATATGTCCTCAAAACATTATCCCCCTTAAGTTTTAATCCTACCAAAGCAAAAATAGATATTTTAATAGAAAAATACAAGATAAAAAATATCATAAAACTAAAATGGTAGCATTAATGTCATTTTTACACAGAAAAAAAGACCCTCTTTTGAACTGTCTCAGCTATACAAACCCCTTTGTATTTACACGTTTTGGATGCAATTCTGTGATCACTGAAATTAATGGGATTTTGCCACTGACTTCATTGGGAACAGGAACAGGTCCCACACGGACTGTGCCTCTCTGAAAGGTCATGGCAGTAGAGAGAAAAGAGCACAATAAAAACACAAATAAGATTGCAGAATTAGCCCATCTGCTCTGGAGACCTCTTCTTTTTCACTCTTTCATGCCAGTGAAACTCCACATCGCTCACTGGAGTTTTTTTAAGCTCCCAGTACGTAAGAGGGAGAATCAGTACTTTTCTTGATACTACACAAAAAAGGGAAGAATGATTCATGTGTGTTTCCACCTTCCTGATTGTCAGCAGAGTTCATATCATCCAAAGCACCAGCTCCCTCTCAGGATTGAACTCCATGTGTGTAATCCTGCATTTCCTGCAGTCAGGCACAACAAATCAGTGATGCAGGATCATACCCCACATTAACCAACTTTTTCATTTTGACAGCAAACCAGCATTTGTGTCTGTGAATCTGTATTTGATACCCAAAAGTGAAGTGCAACTAAGGAAGGGGGTGGAAGGAGCTAAAAAACGGGAAAAGAGAATGCAGCATCCTCATCAATTAAAACAAATCCGCTGTTCTTAATACATGTCTTAAGAAATATTGTCTTTACATATTAAGTACATCCTATAACATCAAGCTGCATCATTTTTGTTCATGAGATGAAAGACCATGCGGCATAATGTGATTAGTTAATCATTCCTGAGCTTCTGAAAAAAATTAAGACAAAATTACTGAATTACTGCTTAAAAGAGTGAGTTCTTCAAGAGCCTCTTACACTGATGTCTTTGGTTGTGCCCATTCCCCTAATCTTTTTTTTTTTTTCCCCCCAGGAAGAATGGGATTATTTTTCTTCTTCTTTATGCAGCAGAAAAATGAGATCTAATGGAGTCTTCGCGTAACTGCCGATGTTTCCCCATGTTACAGTCCTCCTGTTGAGTTCGTCTCTCAATAGTTATTCTGTACTTCTTTCTGCATGAAAGAAGAGGAACAGAGTGAGAAATCCTTCTTCAGCTATAGGATAACAGGACCTTCCTTATAAAGAATGCCTGTAGGGGACAGCTGTGTTCCAGTTGAAAAATGGAATGTGACAGAATGTGAAACCCTGGTCAAAGATTAAAGTAGTTTGCATTGAAATATTTTACCCAGCCTCAAGAATGACTGTCATACAGCAGTCTCAAAGCATCACGACACAGACATTTGCTTTTTTGAAAAATTCTGATTTAAGTGATTAGGAAGTTTTTGTGAAATGTCATGTGAACTGTGTCACATCACTGCTTTATATTGATCAAAGCCAAATTTCTTTCCTGTGTACAGGGGGCACTTTCTGCAGAGTTTAAACAATGGATTTGACTCTTTATTCAGTTGCATTTCTGACTGAAACTGTATGTTAGCTAACTAACTGTCCCATCTCCCACTGAGAAAGCTACTATGTTTATAATATCATAAGATGAATCAAGAAAAGCGGTGTAGCACATAGATAAGATGTAAATACAACTGCTCATTCAGAAGACATACTTTTTCTTGCATGTCTTCCTCCAGGGCCTTGCGATGGATCCTGATATGCTAATTTATACATCCCTCTGCTTCTGACTGCCTTTCAGTTTCACCTTTAGTATGCAAATCTTCCCCCAAAACCATCAGACTACCATGTTTACTTTTCATGTGTTTATGCTTCCACTGAGTTTCAAGACCAATGCTTCAGAAAGGCATTAGTTCAGCCCCACCTGCACACAGTATTTTTTGTGGGGATGCATCACAAAATCTTTGCATGTCATGATTCCATCTTCTGTTCCACTTGCATGTGTAGCATTAGTCTAAGCTAGGTACGTGGTGGTGGAAGAAGGATTTTCAAAACAACAAGGTTTTAATTTGAATAGTATGACTCAACAGAAATTGTTTACCCACAGGTTCCTAGACAACTACATCTGTATCCATAGGCTGAGAAGTAATTAGAAAAAATACGTTTTTTACTTAATTTATGCTAGTCTTCCATAGGTGAGACAGTGCACACTCAGCAGTAGCTCATCTACACAGACATGCCCTTTTTTCAGAAATGTAGCTCCTTGAATTTAAATCCTTTTAAATCCAAATCTTTCAGCGGAGATTGCATGCTCACTTAACACTGAGTTTCTATGCTCATTTGTATGGATTACAGATCCAGATGATAAAAACAGAGTAATTGGAAGGTGTGTGTGCAGCCCAAAAGCACCCAAAAAAGTGCTCATTTCTCCCCTCCGACCACAAATACAAAGACTGCCAACCCATCTTCATTCAGGTGGATTTCCAACTCAGATTTTAGTGTCAGATGACTTAGAGTCTAAGACCTGTTCCTACAGTGACCTTTGTATATTTCTGTGTCTGCTCAAGTAGGCCTTTTGCCCTATTTCTTGTACTCAACTACCAATTTCTCTCAGTATCAGCAAGACTTAAAAAAAAACAAACAAAAAAAACCCAGAATTACCAGCTCAGATTGGGAATGTATAAAAAGATGCAAGAGCTTCTGATGAGCTAGAATATGAAGATACAGCTGTATTTTCTTTTTTATTTTTTTTTTTTTTTTTTAGGTTTTTAGTTTTTTTAGTTACAGTTACAGTTAATTTGTCTTGTTTCAGATCCAAACAACACATGATGTAAGTACCAAATATTGTTAAGGATTCGATTAATAGTTCTGGTTCTCAGATCTTTTGAAACCCCATTAATTGCTAGTAAACTGACCAAGGTTTTGCCTGTTCATTTTGTTAAGGTTTGTTTTTTTTTTTTTTTTTTTTTTTTCAATAGAGATGTATTTTCATTGATAAAAAGGATTTGATTCTTATATGTAGAGGTTAATTCTACCCTCCTGTTTTCTTTTGCTCTTCATATCATGAAAGGATAAATCATACCATACATAAGATGCTGAACTGATATAAAAATAATTTGGTCTGACAACGTAGGATCAAGTCTCAAGACTTTACATTGGCCAGCAATGTAAGAATTATTTTACCTAAACAGGAATAAAACACCGATCACCCTCTGCTGACCTCAGCTTATTAAGTTAAATGCACAGCTTTGAACTCCAAATGCTCTCTTAAACCAAACCAGACATCTCTTTCCAGCTTCCACTACAATTCCACTCATTGCTCAAAAACAAAGCACGGTACCAGGCAAATGACATAAATTTCTTACATGATCACAAACTGTGCAATTGTTCTGCCAAGCAATACCAATCAAAGAAGGCTTTCAAGGCCAAAGTAATTTAATAAGTTATCTGTGAATGAACAGAACTCACTGGAACTAGTTCCACAAGTAAAGTTACATAGAGATGTAAAGAGTTACAGGATGAGGCCCTGAGTCAGTTATTTTGATTCACACAAAAGTACAAGCAAAGCATATTCACTGTCTACGGGGAAGTGTTACCACACATGATAATGGTGTCTCCCATCACAGATATGCTTCCACGAGCTAAAAGTGTGGGTGATGAGCAAAGAGTTGAAGGAACATTCAGTGAATTGGACTAACCTGAAAAAGTAAAAAGCCATTAGCAATCCTGCTCCAAGTAAGGCACCCACGACTATTCCTGTAACTGCTGATTCTCCTAGACCACCTGCTTGAAAAATGGAAAAAACACCAATCAGAGTTCATAATGAGGACTATTTGCATTCACACATTGGAAAACACACATGACTAGGAAATGAATGACCAATACCAGATAATAAGTGAAGTCTTCAGAGTTTAAGACTCAGTGGGAATCTCTTCTACTCTAGTTCCTGACTGCTTATTTTTTGCCCCTGTTTTCCTTGCAGTTAAATAAGTAACCAAGATCAGTAACAAATAAAGTAAAAAAAGAGTCAAAAATAAAGATTATACACATGCTGTTAAGAAACTGGTCAGGACAGCTTGATCTGAATCATAACACAAACCAGGATTGCAGCATTGTGCACAACAGGAATCAGCCCTGGATATGCCTTTAGCCATTATAACAGAAACAATTCTATTTCATCTGGTTTAGGATCATGACCTGTCATTAGCCAGCTTATTAAAATGACTGATTACTCAACAGTATCAAGAATCTATGCCCTTTCAAGTTAAAACCACAGAAGCTTCTTCTTGTTCCATAGACACAGTGGGTACAGCAAAGCCCAAGTAGGGACTAGTCTTCTGCAAAGAAAATCATTTTTATGTGGATACAGCCTGCTCCCTTTTATCATGCCGATCTGAATTTTTGGAAAACGGAACCACAGAATGGCTTGGATTGGAAGGGGTCTCAAAGATCATCAAGTTGCCAAGTGCTCAATCATAGTCATAGAATGGTTTGGTTTGGAAGGGACCTTTAAGATCATAGAGTTCCAATCCCCTGCTATAGGCAGGGACACCTTCCTCTAGAACAGATTGCTCACAGCCCCCATCCAGCCTGGCCTTGAGTGCTTCCAGGAAGGGAGCATCCACAGGCTCACCGGGCAACCTGTTCTAGTGCCTCACCAACTTCACAGCGAAGAATTTCTTTCTGATATCTTGTCTAAATCTACCTTCTTCCACTTTAAAGCTATTTCCCCTTGCCCTATCACTATCTATCTGTGTAAAAAGTTGATTTCCCTCTTGTTTATAATTTCCCTTTAAATATTGAAAGTCTGTAATGGGGTGCCCCTATAGCTTTCTCTTCTCCAGATAGAACAAGCCCAGCTCCTTCAGTCTGTTTTCATGAGAGAGATGCCCCAGCCCTCTTAGTCAGAGAAATATTAAGGAAATTAAACTGCTCCTTCCTTTTATGTTATCCCTGAGCATTTGAGGGGTTTGTCTCTACACATCAGGATGTGCGCTTAAGGTCATCTGAAAATCCCCTCCCCTTCCCTCCCCTCTCCTCTCCTCTCCTCGCTAGTTGTCCCCTCACAATGCCTTCCAATAGCATTGAAAATCATGCTGCACTGGGTAAGTGAGCACTGGTAGAACTGAGCTCCACACCTGCTAATTGTTGATATAATTATTCTCTGTTCAGGGTTTCAGTTCTATCCTTCCTCATGGCTAAGACAGATTTTACCTTTTAACCCTTGGAAGGTCACAAAGCCTCAGGGTCTTGGGCTGCGCCTCAAGCAGGCACTACAACAACTATCACATTTAAATTCAGGAAAGTGATTCAGAACACATACTACCAGAGGCTGCAAGACTTTGGCTTCACAAAGAATCAGCAGAGGGACACACTCATGATGTCCGACTTAAGACGACTGTGCTAAGCAGTTTAATAAAGCCTGTTACGCTGCTTCACTACAAGGATTCGTCTTCTGACAGCTGCACAGAAGCATTAAGTCTCTAAACTTACATGATTTACAAGGTGTATTGTTTGTGTGCTCCGAAACTCGGCTTTCATCTATTCTCAGCCTGCCATGATTCCAAGGGTATTTCACATTTGATCGAATTTCAAAACGCCCCTGCTTTCCATAGTAGTCTCCGATCACCTATGCAAAAGGAAAGGAATGAAAGATTTTATTATCACATTAGAGAAGTAAAACAAAAAGGAATGCTGCGCCAATTGCTTGGACTCCTGTGTCTGAATGCTGAATCACAAAGGATGTGGCTGAAGGGGTCTTTGGGAAGTTATGCAGTCCATGCTCTGCTTCAAGGCAGAATCAGCTGAACAAGAGCATTCCTGAAAGATGTTTATCCAACCTGCTCTTCAAAGCCAATGAAGTTGGAGATTTGACATTTTCCACAGGCAGTCATTCCAGAAATTATCTTTCCCATCACTGACTTTCCCTAGCATGTAAGCAAAAACTCCCTTCTTGCAATTAGCCATCACTACTTATCCAATTACCAGTCGACATAGAGACTCTTCCTGAAATATCCTTTTGCATACTCACAGACACTTACCTTTCTACCCTCAGTCTTTTTTTTTTTCTGTATAAACCCAGCTCACACAAGGTGTTGTTCTTTTTTGTTTGTTTGTTTGTTTTTGTTTTTTAAACTCTTTCATATTCCTTCTTGAAAGCTCTCCTTGACCTTTCTTCAAATCCTCCATAGCAGAATGAATGCTCAGGACTGTCATGAGACCGGGAGAAAGCACTTAAAATATTTTGCATGTTAGACTTCTCTATTTTGTAAGGTCTAGGAGATACACGATCAATTTCAGTTATCTCTTTAGATCTTCTGCAGAACTACTACAGAGCCAGTCATTCTGTACCTTCTACTTCTGCTGTTGTCTGTATTTACTCAGGAAGGCTATTTTATGCTTATCATCCTGGTAGCAAGGTCTGTTATTTCAGACCAGTCCATTGAGATGATTCACAATTTCAGTCCCATCCCCAATTGTAAATTCAGGGTTTAATTCAAAGTAGCATGCTTTGGATCTACTGCAAAGTTGCAGGATTAAACTGTGCTAGTACTAGGTAACTCATCTGAAAATAATTCCAAAAATTATTTTCACAGTAGTAAAGGAAAAAGTCCAAATATGATAACACTGAAATAGCAACAACAGCAGAAACACATCAACAGTATTAGTCTATAAATATCTATAAATATCTATTAAGATAGAACTAGGTTTTAGAATTATAGTTTTCAAATTAAAGACACTGATACACTGCTCCAGACTTTTACTTAAACTCTTTTTTGAAGAGGAAGAGTTAAAAGACAGATAACATATGCCCTGGTTATAAAGGAGTTCATTTATCTTCCAGTATTTCATCTGGAGTTAAAAACTTGTAAGAAATCTGCTGCATTGGCAGGCAACAGATTTAATTGGGAGATTGTTTAATTTGTCAAATTGGTGTGGGGGAGTTCTCCTGTATCATCAGGACTTAGAAAATGAGAAAGCATGCAGGAAGGGTTAAGAACAATAAATAGCTATGAAGAGACACCAAACAGATTCAAATCAGAAATAGGATACAGATTTTCAAGAAGTAAAAGCGGTTAAACATTGACACATGCATTGAGGGAGTTTGGGAGGCAGCTCTTCATTGTCTCCAAACAAAAAACGAGTGCCTGTTGCAGTGCAAGCACTACCCATGGTAAACTGCAGGGCTCCACGCAAGGGTTAACAACCCACACACCTGCAGCGAAGATCTGTTGGAACAGGTATTCTGTTGTTTTACCAGGACCTTTCAGATTTAAATTCTGAATAATCCTGGAGAAAAGCTCTGCCCAAAAGGATTAACCTGGCTCGGCTCAGTTGAGAAATAAAAGTTCATGTACTGGCATAGCAGAAACTGGCAAAATTAATAAAACAAGAATCAATGAAACAGTATTTCTAGAGTGAGGCACAGGGACAAAAATAAATGTAGCAAATACAAATAATAAGTAATCACACATAAAGTATGCTACTTGTATGTATATGCATCATAAAGTAGAAGAGAAATTAAAATGAGCAACATATTAAAAAAGGTAATATGAAAGAAGTAGAAGATTAAAACTGCAAAGGAAAGAACAATAGAAGGCTAAGAGCAGGAGATTAAACTGATAAAGAGGATAAAGAATTAATGGGCTGAACAAACAGAAAAGACACAAGTTGTTCACACCAGCCTTATCCCAACTAATCTGTACTCCTAACTTCATTTAATGATGATCAGTGATTTGTTGGTGGCGCCCAGGGCTTGACACTGGGGCTGCTTCTAATTAACGCCTTTATTAATGATCTTGATGAGGGTATTGAGTGCACCCTCAGTAAGTTCACAGACAACACCAAGTTGGGAGGGAGTGTTGATCTGCTTGAGGGGAAAAAGGCACTACAAAGGGACATGGACAGAATGGATCGATGGGCCAAGGTAAACCAAATGAATTTCAATAGGGCCAAGTGTCAGGTCCTGTATTTTGGTCTCAACAACCCCAGGCAACCCTGCAGGCTTAGGGAGAAGTGCCTGGAAAGCTGCCTGATGGAATGGGAACCTTGGTGTACTGATGGACAGTCAGCTGAATATGAGCCAGCAGTGGTGCCCAGGAGGCCAAGAAAGCCAATGGCATCATGTCTTGTATCAGGAATGGTGTGGTGAGCAGGACTAGGGAAGTCATTCTGCTCCTGTACTGGGCAGAAAGCACATTGAGTACTGTACAGAAAGGACACAGGTGCTGGAGCAGGTCCAAAGAAGGGTAACAAGGCTTGTGGAGGATTTGGAGAATGTGTCCTATGAGGAGAGACTGAAAGAACTGGGGATGTTTAGTCTGAGGAAGAGGAGGCTGAGGGGAGACCTTATTGCTGTCTTCCAATATCTGAAAGGTGATTGCAGTGAGAGTTGGGCTGGTCACTTCTCACTGGTGACAGGATGAGGGGAAATGGCCTCAAGCTGCACCAGGGGAGGTGTAGGTTGGATATCAGGAAAACTACCATTACTGAAAGGGTTAAGCATTGGAATAGGATCCCCAGGGAGATGATTGAGTCACTATCCCTGGATGTGTTTAAAATCCATTTGGACATGATTTAGCAGAGGATTGTTAATTAGGGTAGTATGGTTAGGTTGTGTTTGGACTCGATAATCTTTAAAGTCTTTTCCAACCTGAGCAATTCTGCAATTCTATGATTAGTCCTACCTCTGACAGTGCCTGCAGTTTACTGCTGGAGTTTTTCAATCATTTTTACACAAGAAAATGCATGAGACATCCTTACTCATGCGAAAAGGCTTCTTGAATTTGTTTTTGCTGCTGGACTGACAAAAATAATAATTTCACCAGACTCCACATAGAGAAAGTCCAGCTCAGTCTGACTACTGATTCACTTTTGAGCTTGCTGGGCTCTTCATGAAGATGAAGAGCAAAAGATTACGAGCAAAACTTATGTTGATGTTTACTTTGCAGCTAACAGCACAACTACCTGAAGCTGTATACTACAGCTTGAATTAGGGCCGTGCATTAATAAACAACCCAGCTATGCTGGGTGCAACTGGTGCTATTCTGTATAGGCTGTTTTTCACTTCTGTTTCTACTCCTCCTTCTGTATCCAGTGGAATAACCCAAGTGTGGCATATGTTGTGCCCAATGGTCCTTCTTACCACTGAGTAAAAGGACTTAAATATTTTAAACAATAATTTCTTATATTCACAATTTATTAGGCTTTGCTAGCATATCAGGTTTCATCTTTTAAATTTTAAAGACTAGCATAAAGTGAAGAAATACATTGGAACTATCAAAGAATTTTTAAGTTTAAAAATTGTTTACAATAATTACTTCAAGAAGTTTTTTTAAAGAAATGATATGGGCTGCAGATTGACATGGTTAAGCAATACTATTTTAATGTATATATTTAACAGACAGATGCCCTCCAAGTAAACAGATGACAGGCTGTTTTCTTACCTCCTGTGTGCCAGCCTCTGGGTCCGTCATTGCAATCACTGAGAAATCCCCGTATCTGTCCCCATTGGCATCAATGGACACCTGCCCTGCAATGCCTAAAGAATGGCATGTAAGGAATTAGAAAATTAATTAGTTAAAATACTGAGCCTTTCCAAGGAAAACAAGAAAACAGTGGACAGGTTTTTACAGACTGATATGACAGGAAATCTCATCAGTCTCCCAGCATTTTTGTTGGCATTCCAAAAGAAATTGTAATTTCATCTCAGTGTCTGCATTCCTGAATTCTTAACATTTCTCCTTTTTAAATATCAAATGTGTGAGCCTGTTTGGGGAATATGTGAGAAAAACCTCATCCAGTAAGCTGGCATGCAAGAACACTAATACACTTAATGTGGGTTATTTACAGAGCCCTGAAACATCTATCGATGCCTCAATAAGAGGCCAGCTCATGTGTGGCAGAGAACTCAGCGGCACAGCCCTATGTTCTACAGACTTACAGAGTTGCTGCATGCATAGAGACAGTTCAGAGTTGTTTCCACCTGATGGGATACTGAAGGAGTGAGGATAGGAGGCACCATGTGCATTATGCATGCATTAAATCTTGCATTTGTTTACACAGGATTGCCTGTACAATATGTTTGTGCTTTATAGTTTAGACCCAAGTTCATTTCCTTCTTTTACAAGCCTGAGGGAAAGATCTGATATTCCCTCAGGTTAGATCCCAGTCTTGCTCTACAGACTTCAACAGCATTCAGACTTTTAAAACTAACTTGACAGATTATGGCACTGTCCCAAGCAGCCCTTCAGAGAATGAAGTCACATTCAAAATTCTGCACGTGAAATCACGTCTGAATCCTGATGATTTCAGTACTTATTTTTGATTATGAGGAATAAATTAAACATTCATTATAAATTTTTCTAGTCTTGAAGCACCATCTCTGCCTTCAACTACCATTCATATTCCAGGAAACTCTAGGAAACTTGGAATCACAGACTCACAGGATAACTTGGGTTTGAAAGAACTTCAGGAGGCTTCTTGCGCAACATTCAATTCAGAGCAAAGTCAGACAGCAATTCAGAATGGGCTGCTCATGGCTTGGCTCTACCTGATTTTGAAAACTTCCTTGGACGGAAACTGCACAACACCTCTGGGGCAACCTGTCGAATTTTTAACTGTCATGATGAAAATACATTCAGTCTGATCCTCTTGTATGTGTATGCTCTTGCCTTTGATGAACACGGCGCCACCTTCTTGCTGTGTGGGGTGACAGAGCTGACCAAGCACTGACACTGGTTGCCCAGATAGGTTGTGGAACCTACACCAAAAGCCACCTGGGCATGGCCCTGGGCAAGCTGCTCTGGGTGTTTCTGCTTGAGCTGGGGTTAGGCCATATGGATCCAGAGGTCTGCTGACTTCAGCCACTCTAGGATCTGTATAAATCAAACAGGTCCTTGAAACCCACCAAAAAATACCTGTTAGCTTTGATGAAGCTCCAGCCTAACTATAATGAAGACACTCGAGACTTTGCTGTTGCACTTCGTCACCCTAGATATTCTAAAATGTGATCCACTGCCTGACACCAAATACAGCCACTTACAGCAGTGCAAGTTAAACAGGCATCAGTTTACAGCCATGCTACACCAATTACATGACTGAGCCACGAAGTAGAGAATCAGCTTCTCAGTGACTGTTAATCAGAAAAGAGAGGTCAGGTACTCAGCTAGAGCATAATTTCCCTTCAACCTAAAAATATTAGATATGCAACAGGTTAACACACATCTATTTATCTTTTCCCTGTTGAGATGCCAAGAGGGTTTCAACATACTGTGATTTTCAGAATATTCAGTGTTCACCAAAAGAGTTACTGTCAAGCAAGTATTTTTTTAGTATAACAGTAAAGCAAAACTGGACAACTGGAAATTTGATTACTGCAGGAATGGGTATAATCGCTCAGCTACTGAATAACTGAAAGCGGCCACCACAAAGAGCTGCAACAGCATTGCCTACACAGCTGTCTGGTTTCTACATCTGATAGAAGACATTAACTGGGCCAGACACCTCCCTGACCTAAGAAAGACAGGACAGGATTATTAGAAATAAGTACCAGAACTTGCAGAAACTAAAATTCCTATGGGATTTTTAATGGGAAACACTTGTATGTTACTTTCCATCTGAATCAAAGAGTATGAAATTTTAATATTTCCTGCAACATTCTTCCTTAAGAAATGTTTTTAGAAATTTTTAATTAATGAAGAACTGTGTTTCAATCCAGGTAGGAGAATTTTATCTGGGCTCTCTTTATTTCATTACATTACATACTTACATATAGACAATTCTGTTATTTTTTAGATGATATTACAAGGAAAAGAAAATATTCTCCACAAAATGTTTCTGCAGTCATATCATGGTGTCTCTGACAATTAAGCACTAAGCAATCATTTGATCACCTCAGCCATACCCTTTTCTAAGCAAACAATGTCATCTGTGCAGATGTTGCTGGCAGAAGTATATGATGCAGAAAAAGGCATCCTCACCCTGCTGGATTTCTGGGGGGCGTCACCTAATACAGAATGAGGTAAAATGTAAAATGAGGTGCCCAGGCAATCAGATATCTAGATGCCACCGGTTAAATGAGTATCCTTAATGCAACCAGAGCTCTGATTGTCAAGGCCTACAAAAGCAAATTACAAACTTTCAGTCCTGCAGTAGACTCTGGTGAGAATATAGAATTATAGAAGTATTTAGATTGGGAAATATCCTTAAGATCAAGTCCAGCCATCAAACTGACACAACCAAATCTCCTTTAGCGTTGTCCCACATACAAGTGGATGGACAACATTCTGCAATTCACTTCAGAGAAGAGCTTAATGGTAGAACAAAGGATGGCTTGCAAGACAACAAATTGAAGATCTCTTTCAAAAGCAGGTTTATTTTTGTAAATTACACCCGGTAAAGTACTGCCAGAGAAGAAATGGCAATGTGCATTTTGACCTTTTCAACCAAAACCTCTCAGCTCACCTGGACAGCTACATTTTCAGTATACCTTTGACAAGTCACCCAGAAACAACAAATTGGTTTTCAGAAGCAGGGGAAGAGAACATGTGCTCCTGTCAGATTTTACAAGTCAGGTGTGAGAATCAGACACATAACCTCCAGGAGCACATAGTACTATAAAATAATAGTATGGGCACAACAGCTGGTGGCTTCCTGGAGCAAAAAAGTGAGCAAGAAAATAGGCTGTGCTAGAGTATCTGTTCACATGCAGTACAGTCAAACCATGAGCACAGTGTAGCCTAACCATGAACTGCATCCTGAGACACCAGAATCCATCCTTAAAATTGTGTGTTCTGGGAAGTCATAAGTTCCAAGGGAGGTAGTGACACATTCAGCAAAATCTCCAGCTTATGCAGGGCTCTTTGTGGGATGACTGCAACCATTGTAATTTAAAGCAGATCTTATGTTACCTTAATCCATGCTGGGGGCCATTCTCCCTTTTGGTTAGATCACTTTCAGAAACAGAAATGAGTTTTGGAGCTGCTGTGCTTCTGGCCTTCCTTCACAATGTCCACTAGTGACATAGTTAGTGCACTCTAAGAGTATCTGGCTACCAAGTTTTTCTTACATGTTTAATTATTCACTTCTTATCTAAGGGAAAGGTTTCTCTCTCTTAGGGATTTCCATAGGAAATCTTGCCAATTATAAAGCAAAAGACTATTTTGTGATATTGGAATATTACGAGATGAATGAGAATATTACATGATGGATGAATTCAACGACATCACACTCAACCTTCAATTTATGATGATCCTCACTTGGCAAAAGCTCTCACATGGCTTTGCATTAATGGGATGACATTCATTTGCCAGTTGCAGCACATAATCTCAGCCTACAGGATTAGTAGTGCTGCTGCCTCCGTGATAACATGCACAGCTCCTGAAAGGAGGAAAATCCTTCTAGGGCCCAAAAGAGCCCTGGCAAGAAATAACAACAACAAAAAACCTGGCATCTCCTTGCCCTGATACATTCCCAGGCTTTAAGATTGAAAAAAAAAGGTCAAATGGAAAAAATGAGGCAATCTCAGAGCTAATAGATACACAAGAGTAAAGTGAGCAGTTGTAATCTTTTCAAAAACAAAGAAAGCCTGAGAAAATTATTGGTATTTCTTTACAACATCTGTGAGGGTCATTAAATTGTTAGGAGTTTTTAAGCTGAATAAGACCTCTAGGGTCAGTGCAAAAAAAGTTCAGACTGGTAAAAAATGCGAGCTAGTCTTAAAGATCTTTATAGTTTCACACAGATATCTTCCTCTTTCTTAAGAGTGGAACAGGCACTAGTCCTTATTCTGCACACAAAAAAGACCTGATTTTTTATTTTTTATTTTTTTACTGTGAAAGCTGGCTTTCTACCTATATTCTTACCTTCATATGTCCTATTACGTGTTTGCTGAACAATTTTTTCCCCGTCTTTCTTACTGAAACCAAACTTCAGGACTTCCTGTAAAGCCAGAGCATAAAGAAGAATAGCATCGTGGAATCCTTCCACAAACATGTTCACCTAAAAAAAAGAAGAAAAAAAAGCAATGGCAATTGACACATGAAAAAGCATGTGTTCCCAGTGAAACCAATTATCTGCAGAGAATTTCCAAATTAACTAAAACAACAAATTTGGAGGGTGGTTTTTTGTTTTTGTTTTTGTTTTTTCCAACTGTGAGCACATGAAGGAATGCCTCTCAAAGAAAAAATGCGAGAACATTTTTGAATGAAAACAGCTTTTTTTGAATGAAAACAGCTTTTGAAAAGAGTTAACCACTATCTGCTATTCCAAACATTCAAAATGTGCTTTAATATTGTGTCTGAATAGTTCTGCAGATAGGGAGGAAATTTTCTGATCCTGGTTTCTATGCCCAGCCACACAAATTCTGTGGTTGCCCATGTGAATTTCTCTAACTAAGATGCTGAGTGCCTTCACCCCACAGCACTAAGTATGACCTTCTCCCGCAGCACAGAGTCCTTAGCAACTCTGCATTGAGAAGTATGTTCCACCATGAATTTTTTGGAGCACGCAACTAGTGGATTCACTTGTTTAATGATTACCACTTCCACTTCTGGCCCCTGTTCAGCTGAGCATTTCTCCAATAGCAAATGAACAATGTAGGAAACTGTTTACCCTCTACAGTAATGCATTCTCTGAAACTGCCAATAGAAGTTTCCTTTTGTTTTTTTTTTCTTCCACTGCGTGACATTAACAGAATGAAATGTTGCTTTCTAACTCACATAAAGTATCAGTGTGCCAAACCATTTCTGTCTCCCACATGTCAACACAAGCAGTCCCGTAGTTTTTGGTCTGCATCATGGTGAGAAACAACAAGTTAAAAGCAGAATCCTGCAGAAACATTACAGGTTTGTATGCAAGAGTCTGGTCTGCTTCAGTGATGAAGCAATGAATTATTATTACCAGACACATGTGGCTTGAGCAGCTCAGGTATTTCTGTCCTGTAGGCAGCAATTCACATCTCAATCTGGCTTGGTGTAACATAATTCAGAAAGATTTATCTTTTCAGCTGGAAGAATAATGTCCTCATTCACTCATAGTTTCTCTGCAATGGAAAAGTTCCTGATGTACTAAAACTAGCATAGGCCTAAGTACAGATTGCACCATATAATGGGGTCTCTTATTGCCATTTCCAGGGAACAACACATTTCTGTAAATAATCTGGACAGAAAGACTAAGCTTATCTTCCACTGCAGTATATTGACAGAACAAAAATATTGCTAAATAAAGTTGCTGAATACTCAAACTCCCACAGTTTTAGTTAGGCACTGAAAAAGTTAAAAGATAAAAAAATGCAGACAGTTAAGTAAATAACTGCCCCACAGATAAAGAGCATTACACAGCTGATTGGCTGAGCTGAACTAACCAACTCCTGGTAATGTAATTACATGCAAGACATTCCTTCACTCTTAAACCAGTTGCCAACAGTAAGGAGAATTTCAGAATTATTTACTGATAATACAAAAGTTTATATTTCTCTGACATTTAAAATTGGACTTCTAGATAAGTCTGGCCTATGTTTCATTAAGAAAATGCACCACAACTGCAGGGGAAAAGCCAATAGTGCTACCCAAGGCAGAGAACAACTTAGCTCAGTCTGAGAGCCAAAGACTAATTGGCAGCTGCAGCTACTTTGACCTGAAGAGAAAGGATGAAAGAAAAGGTGAAAGTCAGGATTTTGGTGTAATAACAAAAGCTGATAGACAGAGTGCAGACAAGGACAAACTTTGCCAGTGAGGGGGGATAATATTTCAGGATTAAAAAACAAAACAAAACAAAAAAAACCCACAGAGCTCAACAACTGCGTTATATGCCAGCCTCAGAGCCCAAGTGGCCAGTGGATAGTCAAACATGGGCTTTATTGATGTGACACTCATTCTCTTAGGGAGAGAAATGAGTCCATTTAGCTGCTTTACCTCCCTGTTGGGTGATTTACAGCTTGTGGCTGGCACCAATTTCAAGGAAAGTTAGTTTGTTGCTTCCTTTGTCCATGGCAAAGACCTCTCAGTGTAACACAGCAACCTTCAAAATCCATTTTGTCAGCTAACTTGCTCGATCTCCCCTTGCAACTGGCCTGAAAATCCTCCTGTAGACTCTGCAGACTTCCCAGATGAGTGCTGGCAAATCTCACTTAGCAGTTTGGAGAGCTATTGCAGCAGACACCTGCTTTGCCTCTTGCTCAAAAACCCTCATATTTCAGGGGAAAAATCACACTGAAAAATCATCAGAAGATCATCTGTTCCGTCTCAAAGCTTATCCTGCACAAACCCCATCATTTTACCTTTCATTATAAAGCAAGGTAAAACTGGTAACCTATATCATTTTACATCTTTTCCTAAAACAATACTATTCAATAATTATAGCTTGAAAGCACTTCCAATTAAAGCTGTATGTTGGGCATGCTGACTACTTTCATATTATTCCAGTAACATTTTCAAGCACCAGTTCTTGAAAGGAGACACAGCATACCAAAAGGGCATAATGTTTTCTTCCCTTTCACCCTACTCTATCACTTATAAGTTGCCATGCTCCTACACAGAGACAGGGTTGCAGGATGTGCAGGAGTACTCTAACCTACAACGTACACAATACTTGAAACAGGAAGAATTTTACAAAGATCAGTAACGCTGAGAGTTTTTAAGGGCTTGTTGTTCATTTGTTCCCTCTTCTGTCTGCCCAGAGCTTATTCAGGTCCATTTTGCACTCCTGTTCACTTTTGACTAAGATTGTTTACAACAGACCCTTCAGAATAAAAAGAGTGCAAAGACTGTGCCAGACTGTGCATGATACCACCTTCGATTTACTAGAGCAGTGTCCCAAGCCAGATAGTTCCAGGAGTTCCTTCTCGGACAATAATAACTCTGAGTGTTACTATACCTCATGTATCTCATTGGTACAAAGGCTTTTCTTTATTATTCTCCATTTTCTTTTTTAAATGTGACTTTTGTTTTACATTTAGTCTGAATTTTGGCTATCAGAAATGATTAAGCAGACTATTTCCTCTCAACAGTTTTTTACACTTTTTGGCCTGAATTTATTGGTATTCCAGAATATCTGGCAGTAAGAACAAATACTTGTGAAAAACAAACCCCAACAACGAGCTCAAAACCCTCCTTCCTTCAGTGCAAGAAATACACAACCATGAGAAAAAGGATTAAAAAGAGCTAGAGGAGTTCTGCATTTTGTGTCAAACTGTTAAGTCAAGTCATTGTGGAGACATCTTCACAGGTTGCTTCAGTTACAGTCTCCACAGTAACTAATAATCTGTAATTCAACATTAGACAGACCTCGGGATGAAACTACACAGATTAAAAAAAGGCATTAATATTAATATATTAATAGGCATATTAATATATACAGTAATCTTATAGGTAATTAAAGCTCTAATAAAAATATTTTTTGATAAGATTTTCCATTTTGGTTTATGCTTTTAATTTTGTTGTTGTTTTTAATTAAAGCTGAGCTTCAAATGTTGTGACTGTAATTTGAATATCAGGTCTATTAAAATAGTGCTGGCTCCAATCTCTACTGCACAGCAAAGCCATCCAACCATGCGTGTCATCAGGCAGCACTGAACTTCTCTGGAGGCTGCAGTGCAAATAAGTGGAAGGCCTCTGCCAAGATATATTCCCTGTTACTTTCACACTTGATTCAGGGTAAAATACAACTAATGAGCAGATCCTTTCTACTCCAATTAACCATATTTTGTCAGAAAAGAATTTTAAAAAAATCACATTAATTTTATGCAGTTCAAAGTTATATAGTTCCCCAAGCAGCTATAGTGTGACCACACAATCCATATATACCAAGGTGTTAACAACATACACAGCAATGCAAAATAGTACCGACATGGAAGACAGCCAAGCTGCAACTATGCAGGTCCTATAATTTTCCATACCCTGCTCTCTTGACTGTTAAGTAACGTTATTCTCTTCCATCTGAAACTGCTGAGATCTGAATCCAAACAATTAGAGTAATTTACACCACTTCAGAGCAAGGTAGGGGAGTAATGATGATCATTACTACCTCTCAGTGCAAAAACAAATACCTAGCGTTCCCCAAAGCAGATGTTTGAATCTACCTCCCTGTACATTCACAGGGATTTTCCAGTTGTTGGACTACCGCCCCAGCCAGAACTAGTGAGTACTCTGCAGGAACTGCATGGAACATACCCAGACTTTTTAATCCTTCTTCAGCAACTCAACTGTAACAACTATTCTTATTTTATGAGTTTTTCCAAGAAACCTTCATGTTGTTCACTTTTCTACATCCATTCCTGGATGTCTAACTCTGGTCATCTTCTGCTGAATGACTCACAGTCCAGCAACACACTCTTCAGAAATTTTTGAACTGTAACTTCTATTTGCTGATACTGTGCTATTGCCACAGGTGCTGTCACAGCTATAATTACAGAAACCTGCCTTCTCCAGACAATGCTATTTCCTCAATAATAATTCGTAACTGCAAAGCACACATGGCGTTATGCCAAATTCTGGGCAACACAGATGTAACCAAGGAGAAACTCTTAATGTAGCTGCTGATACCAACTCTGTGTAAATATATAAGCTGGCACGTACTCAAGAAGTCATTATACCAGAGCTTAGGACTTGGTTGTCAAAAGGACAAATAATTTTCCAAAGCCTCATTTGTAATTTTGGGCTGGATTCTACATCACATCTTAGAAGAGGATGATGAGCATTCCCAAGTGTGAGGAGATGTCATATAGCAATAAATCATCCTGCTTACTTTATTCAAACACTGTTGCATTTCTCAATGGATCATGAATTCAGACTTTTACAGGAAGGTGATGTGCATGCAGAAATCCAAATGGGCCTTTTTATACAGAGGTGCACGCTATTCTGTTAGAGAATTCTGCAAAGTTAGGATCACACTGCTTTAAAATTACAGGTTAAAATATCAGCCTCGACAAATTTATTAGCACTGCACTTGAACAAAACATCACTTCCCTTTAACCTTAAGAAGGCTTTTTCCAAGTATATTGC